GGAGACTTGCCACGGTCTCCAACCCTCCTCCTTTCTCATCCGGGCTTAGGACCGGCCATGGCGGAGTTAGCTTTCATTGTTCAATGTAATTTTTAGTACTTTGAGTGAAAGGTCCTATTCTCTTACTTAGAAGGTACTTCTTTGCGTGTGACTGGTTTTTATTTTCAGGACTTCAACTACTGAAAATAAATTGTACGACAATGGAAATGCAGATTCCCATGAAAAGGAGATTTTGGAATCAAATCGTAAATTTCTAGACGCAGAGAATTTGCATGATGAGCCACAGCTACCTGTATCGGAGGATAACACCCTGACCGGTTCAGATATTGAAGATCAATCACCCAATCAGAGCTGCAATAGCATAAAATTAGTATCGGTTTCCGGCGGTCAACTCTTCGTTTCGCCAGCGGAGGAGGTACAGCCATTTGTCATTGTTCATTGTTCACTTTTAAAGCAACGCTGTTATTTCAGAATATGATCTCGACGGTAAACCGAACCGAAAGCACGAAGGAACCGCATTCATCGCTAGTGTCGGTATCGACGACCGAGTGCCATTTGTCAGAGGAGGAAATTCTTCAGAGACACTGCGAACAGGAAAAACAGGAAAAGCTACTTGCTGAGTGGAAAGAACTTGAGTAAATTGTTTTGCTTGTGATTTCTTCCGGTTACTCATACTTCATTTTAACTCAGCATGATGGAAAAAATGCTTCGTATGGAGATAGGTAAAGTTGTTCTTGATGTTCAGTTGGAACAAGTCGACAGTTTTGCCAATTTTAGACGGCAAAGACCTTCGTATCCGTGACTGCGACAATATGATTAAAAAATTTAAGGATGAAACGCAGGAGGTTTGCTTTTCGCAATCCGCATGCCAGCCTAATCGTCGTTTTGTCTAGATGTCTGAACGTGCGCTTGTATACGAAAGTGCCGGAAGGACTATGGCAGCGTTATGGAATAACCTAACCAAGATTTCTGCGCAGTATGAACAGGTATATTTTGGTTGTGATGTACACTGTGATTATAAGTTTTCAGTTCGTTCCAGTCTAATTGGCGGGATTGGTCTGAAACATGTTGGTACTCTCTTTTCGCAGTAGAAAAAGGAAGAAAAACTTTCAGCCATTGCGATTTAGGCATTTTTTCACTGCCATGATTGGGGCATTTGTTGCTCCCTTTTTTCGTGAAGCGTATACTGTACCTCTAATCTTGGATTCTATGCAATCAGTCAAGAGTGCCTTATTTTTATCAAGGTAGAATCTACAGCGATCTGGCAAGAATAGTGTGTGTCTCCTGTTTCCTTCCCACTGAGTCGTGCACACTCGTTTACCTCAGAGGGAAAAAATGCGGGTGATGAATTGACCTGGGCTCGAAGTCGCGACCTCGCAGTTCTGAGTCAGGCGCTCTAGCGGCTGAGCAGCTTTGGTCAGTGGCGGCCCAAGTCATTTCCCTCGAGGATAATATGGTCGATAACGCCAAAAGCACCTAGCTTTGTATTCCTTCAGTATAACTAAGGTAATACAAAAGCGTTGTGTCTCCTGCAGCAGACTTTTCAGGTGTTGGTGAAGTTGGCAGAATCTTTGACTGTAAATGGGCAAAAGTTTAGTTCAGTAATGCGCGAGACCTGCGATCGAGATTGAGTCATTGTAGCAATTACTTTCAAAAAGGAAGTACTCCTGACTGACTAATGGCGTCATAACGGAAACGCGCGAAAGAACGTTGCCGTCAATGTCAGCAACCCATCATGATTCTGTAATGTTTTGTTGTTCCTGACTCGAAGCGGAAAGGCCTAACTTCCAATCGTTTTAAAGCGATGTCAGCTAATATCTGTTCTAACGTACTTGAAAACTGTTGACATATGAAGTGAAGAATTTTTCACTGTAACCTGCCAAAGTTGTGTTCTTCTGTTCGTTGGAGTCCCAGACGGATAGACATATAGTATATAATGCACGGTGCAAATGCATACAGGCTTACAGGAAAGCGGTTTTAAATGACGATCGCTCAGTGCATGCCATGAGGCAGCTGTAGGATCCGTCTTCGAGGGAAAAATCAAAAGTTATTAAGAGATCTTTTCATCCTTGATTAACACTGCGTCATTAGCTGCACCGAAAGTTTGATTCGTTCACCTCGAAGCACCATCGCGGTTACTGTTGCAGTTCGTAAAATATGAGTATAGTCTCATTTGCTTCATGCTGGTATGCAGTTCGCTTTCTCATATTCTTGTGGTTATCGCCCTCCTGCATGATATGGCTAAGTGGTTCTGATCTTGAATATGCTTCTTTTCACGCAATAATCATACGCTGCTTGAGCCATTACTTCACATACTTAAATAAAGAATTGTAATAGCACTTGTTAATTGTTTCAGTTTTAAATATTTTTTGATTTTTTTTGTATTTTAGAACCAAGTGGTTTTGAAAGAGGCGGTAAGAAACGGCGAAAAAGTTTTGGAGAAGTCTCAAGACCGCTTTCGAAGGCTTAAAGATTATGTTACGGAGGTGATTAAAAGGTAGTCAGTAATGGTGATTGTAATTTAATGAGTCATTTTAAAAGATTTTCTTTTTTAGCGCCCATGATGAAACGGAGAAAATGAAACGGGAGAAAGAGGCTAATATTTTTGCGCTGAAAGCGAAGGTGAGGAAGAGTGAGTTAGAAAGCGACGCCTTAGAAAAAGAAATCCAACATTTGGTAATTTCTCTTTTTTAGTAATATTTGGTACGTAATTTGTCCTAGACTAAACATTTTGAATAGCGGCTCATTAGCGCTACTTTCAAAAAGTAGTTATTTATTTATTTGGGATAACTGGGTGGTGGCGTTTCGGTTTGCCTATCCAAATTTCTTTAGAAGATCAAACGAACCGGAGAACCTGATAGATAGTTGACCGAAATGTCAGTATCTAATTTTCGTTAGCCATTTATTGTATGTTGTATTAATGGACCACATTCCAAATGCTAATTATGATTTCTTTTCATAACTGCCCTTTATGCAGGATGACAATATTGCGAAGATGGAAAACCTCTGCGATGAATATATAAAGAGAAGTTCGAAGGCCAAGTGATGCGCTTGTTAATCGAACGAGGAGCCTCAACCGACCATTTTGTTCCTTTTTTGTTTTTGTTCATTTGTACTGTTGCGACTTCCCCACGAGTAACGTTTCGATGCATTACCTTTCGGCCTTTGATGATCAAGCTTACTATAGAAATGGATCATTTTCTATGAATTGTACCTTCTCATGCGATGCTGCCAAGTTGTAGTAAATAATGTAATTGTGCATTATGCCTACCGTAAGTTTTCTGTATTCTGTGGCTAGAATGACTTTGAATGAATGGCTTAAGTGTAAAGTGGTGTATCAAAGTTTTAAGATGTACTTGTTTGATTAGGCCCACTGATTACGGCTTAGCTTATCGCTGTGAATGTTGATTGAGCGCTATCTCACTAGTTTACTTTTAACTGTGATGTTCGCCAGGGAAGTGTATCTTCGCCTTTGCTGTTCAACTTGTCCCGACTTCGCTGAATCTGTTAATCCTGGTAAAGTCGAAGCTCCAAGGGAAAGCGCAGTTCAAGACATCTAGACAGATCTGGCTTATGTTAAATACGCATCTGAATTTTTTTTTACACGAAGGAGGGCTTTTCATTTCACCGTCTCCATATGCAATATAGATGTTAAAGCCTAGAAATCAAAAGTATAATGAACCCACCGAGCAAAGTTCATTTGGCAGTGGCATGGGGAGATGAAGCGCTTCGGAAAATGCCTTACCTCTGGCAATAGCACCATCCAGCCAGAATTAAGTAAAATGTTCACCCTGGCATTACTGTTCTCTGGAATCCTGTCAGATATATTTGATTGTAAAAGGATGATTTCTTTTTACTTGCTGTAACTTAGCTCTGTCAAATCGTTGTTTTAGTGTGGCATGAAAGCGGCTATAGCGAAGGAATAAGAATGACGGTGAAGTATGTGCAACAGCGTAAGCATTAACACAGTGAGAACCGGATAATGTAGAGAGTGGCTATTCGTTTCCGGGGATGTGTGGTTTAAATCGATATGAGGATTACAAATAAAGATTGAACCTAATGGATAAATAGGTTTTGCATGAACCACCTATTTTTGCCAGAGTTTTTCTTGCTGAGTCTGAAGGTGGCAGATAGCCATATTCAATGGAAGGTAAGGGAAGAGTAAGTTAGAAGCACGTCAGCATTGAGAGAGGAGTATTTAATTTATGACACAGTGACCGGTGCCTCAGAAAAAATTGAAGTGCTAAGAACACAACGGGCATTACACCAAAGACGTTTCGTTTAAGCAAGCGGCAAAAGGGAATGCTCTCAATTAGCAACAACCAACTTGGATACAATCGGTTTTTTGCACAAGAGATTGCCTGATTCTTAGGGGAGTTGCAGATTGTGGCTATCCGGCATACAGTTATGGGCAGCTATCTTTCGATTTGGGCGCTTAGATTGTTAAGGTGTAAGATTTCATCTAGCTGGAGCGTAGACGAAAGAGTGGATCGAAAAGTAGAGAGAACTGCGATTGGTCACCAAAGGCACATTTTACTGACCTGCAGCAGAAGAAATTGTCAGTGTTGCCGTTTATATTGATTAAAAACCGAAGTAATGCCGAAAAGTTTCAACCAATTCACTAAATTTCTAAAAAGCTATAGAAGCAATGAATTTAAAGATCCGGACTGTGCAATATAGACGACGTCAGGATATGGAGAGGAAATGAAAAAGTAAACGAAGAAAAGAGTAGACATCATCGAGGTCGCTATGCAATCATCAAACTCTTCGATATTTGGAATATAAATACTGCTCTAATTTAAGTGTAAAGTCGGAATTATTTTGATCATGCTTACCATTGTAATAAATATTACGGCATTTCATAAAAGATTCAGTCCTTGACTTAAAATCTGCCTGAGTTCGATTTAAGTAAAAGAATAAGTTTATATACAATTGTATACCCGCCGTAATGATGAGTTGTACCTATAGATCTATATAGCATATGGTAACAACAG